TATTCAAACCCCAAGTTAGGCTAGGAGTGTGTAATATCTCTTAAACACCAACTTGGTTTATCCATCCCTGATTTTTCTTCCATTTCATATCCCCCCATTTCTCCTCTTAATCTCACTCTTTTCTTCCAATTAAAATACCCAAAAGAACTCCCTCATCAACTCCATATATTTCCAGTCCATTCCCCCACAAAAACACCCTTCTTCCTGCCCAGAATTCTGCCAAATAATCGATTATCATTCCCCACAATCGATTATCAATCCCATTGGAAACACCTGCAGGGCTCAATAATCGATTATCCCTTTAAGATAATCGACTATCAGCTTCCCCAGAAATTCTGCAGCTTTCAGTAATCGATTGTGACTTTGTGTAAATCGATTATCTCCTGCTCCAGAACCCTGAACTAAAGTTGAATCATTCCTTGATTCCTCATCAAAATAGCCACTCGTTTAGACCCCCGGTTCGGGTATAACATTTGGTATCAAAGCTCAGCTTCGAGGCTTTCTTAAGTCTCGACGATAACCTTGAGGACCGGCTTCGCTGCCCAAAAGAACGTTGCTGAAATTTCTTCCCCAGAAACTTTCAGTTCCATGGCGTTGAGCACGGAGGATGCTACACGACGTTTTTGAAGGTGAAACTTTCCAGTTCAGTAGTTTAACCTTTTATCTACATCTGGCCGCTGATTTCACTCAATTCCGAATTACGGTTTGAGAGATACGCCCTCCCGAAGTTGATAACACAGTCTTGGCCGGATTCTGTCTACCTTGCTGAGTTTGTCTCCAAAGAGGTAGAAAATATTTTTCAATGGCTCTGAAATTTTGATATGTCTTTAAAGACTTCAATATCTAACTGTTGTGAGCAAATTCTGGATGATAAATGGGTCTCGTAGAGAACAAATGAAGACCTGTTATTGGAACACTTGACCAACTCTCCACCCTCAGAGTTTGAAGCTGATGATGAGGACACTGCAGTCTACAAACCAATCCTCTCAAAGCCAACTGAAGATTAGACTGTCCTCACCACCGAAGCACAGGCTGACATGGAAGCCACAGCAGAGGATTTCCAATTTTTTTTGGAAACCTCCCCTGCTTTTGAAACTGTTCTGCCTGAAGCTGTCCAGGAAAATGCAGCCTCTCCCCTGCAAGAACAGAATCAGGAAACTTCAGAAGAAGAACTTCAGCAATTCCTCCAATCTGAAGTTCAAGAGATCCTCACAACCCCTTGTGAGATCTCCAAACCAACTGAACCTGAAATTCCGGAGAAGTCAACAGAGAATCTGGAAAAGTCACCTTTTCCAGAAACTACAGAGGAAGAAGCTCATGAAGAACAAGCAGTTGAAGTCCAAAGAAGCTTTGAAGAAGCTGAAGAAGGAGCTCAAATAGCTAGGCTGGAGGCCCCTGAACCTCTAGTAGCTATCTCTGAGCAACAAGTTGAAGATGAAGTCAGAGATTCCCTCTTTAGGGAAATCTCAAATTATGGAAATGAAGAAACAGGGTAAGAGTCAGTGAAGACCCTGAAGATTGATGAAGAAGAAGCTGAGCAAGGAGATGATGCTGAATCTCTCCCTCTGCAACTCTTCCATAGAGTACCTTCTTCAAATCAGGTAACAAATTTTCACTTTCACAGCTCTTCAGCAACCACACTTCCGGATGAGATACCGGAAACCTGGATAAGGAAGGTCCAAGGGTTAATTGAATCAGCCCTAAAGTCTCAGCATGCCTCTTTTAGGCAAGAGATAGAACAGATGGAAACAAGGCACAACCAAATGATGGAAAAATCTGAAGAAAAGTATTGCTCAAATCTCAACGAGATAAGCAAATTTGTAGACAAAACTCTAGCGATCATTTCTCTATTGAGTAAGTCTGTGAGCAATACAATGATGGCTTTTGCATCTGACTGCCACCTTCAATTCAAAGAAGCCACTGCAATCAAGCAGCAGATTGCCACAATCACAGTCAACCTTCAGAAGTAGATGTCACTCCTCCAGATGGATATCAGATCAGCCTTGGCAGTGTCATCAGCAAACCAGGTGGTAACACAAGATTACCTAAAGGTTCTTGCTGACAATCAGAAAGAAGCATTCAGGCTCTTTAGGCACTTTGGCACCTACACTGGGAAACACAAGCTGGAAGTGATTGTCCAACCCAGAAGTCCATCTCAAATTCCAAAGTTTCCGATTGAAGTTAAACAAGGAGAACTCTCATACATTCCATCACATCTGAACATCTGAGCAATCCGAAGAACTCAATCCAGCATCCATCAAACACTGAGTTTGATGGAATAGAAGATGTAGGAACCATTGCCTCCCACTTCACAAATGATGCCCAGACAGAAGAGAGATATAACAACCTCAAGCGCATCCAGGAAGAGTGTGGAGTTATGCAAGGCATTGGTGAAGTTGCCGGATCATCCAAGCGCAAGAAGAAGTGAAGGCTCCATCAAAATAGGGGGAAGTATTGAAATTATTATTTATGTTTTGATGAAAACACCATTTTGTTTAAACATGAGTTCTTGGTTTAAACATTGCTTAATACATCTCTTAATTATGCTTGAACATATTTCTTTAAAGTATGATTTTTGAGATTTATTATTGAGCGCATACATTCAGGGGGGATGTAATTCAGGAGGAACTTAACTGTGTTTGGCTAATATTTGTCTTTTGGCAATGAACTACTGATAAACTCTAAGCAATGGAATACGGATACCTCAATTTTTGTACCAGAGTTGGAGATCTCCGATTCAGGTATTCCACAATATATGCCCTCTTAAACTTAGTTTCAATCCTTAGTTCATTTCCAACTTTGCTATAACGTACTGGTCGTTAGGATTTTTATAATGTACGGGACTTTGGAAAATTAGTACGACTTTACTTTTAAAAATAAAATTGATTTCTTTTGGTACTACCTCGTCCTAATAAGAAATTAGAACTATAGGAAATGAAAAATGATAGATTTTATTTTGGGCCTTGAGAACCCAATAGGAATAATTTCCCTTTAGTACATAGATTTTTTTTTGGGCCACTCTTTTGGGCTTAGCCAAACTAAAGCAGTTACGTTTTTCAAACCAAATGAAACTGGTTTCATTTGAAATAGTTTCAACACATTGGTAACCGGTAAAACATTCCTTCAACTTCTTGGGAGTTGAAACTCTTTTACTCTCACCGTTCCAACTACCCACTAAATGGAACCCGTGAACCTCCCCTTCTCAACTTCTCCTCCTATTTAAACCAAGTCACTCCAATCCATTCCTATCACAAACAACTCTCACATTATGAAAAGTCTTCAAACTCACTGTCTGAGAAAAACACGAAGAAATATATCTTAACTTGGGGTTGAGTCTAACATTCAAATAAGATATTACACACTTATTTAAATAACTAGAACCTAAAACTCACACTCAAGAGAACCACTCTTAAGATATAGGATTAGGAATTTGGAATGAAACACACAAGTGAATCACTTTGATTTAAAATGGAATACAATCTATGTTTACAATGCCCAGGGATGAGCTTATATAGGAAAAGAAGAATGAGACTACCAAGTCTCTTATTCACAAAAATTAAAAGGAATAATAGCCACTTGTTGGTGTCCCTTTGGTGGGGAGAAAAATCAGGAAGGGTTGTACTTGTAGGATAGGTTTTTTTGGTCATAAATGGTGGGATGGAATATGTGAGTATAATTCACAAATTGATTGGCTTTGGTGGGGTTATTTTTGGGCAGGAGAAAGGGTGGTAGGGCTGGCTATTTGGAGCCATTTCTTGGGCAGGATATGGTGAGGTAAAAGGGGGTTTGAAGGGTCTGGGTGTGGGACAATGTGTCTTGGTGTTTAGTGATTGTTTGCTGTTAGACTCGAGCTCTGGGATTAGGCTTTAAATTTAAGAACAAAGCTTCTTAAACTGTAGGAAAGGAGGATAGTCGATTATCCAGGTATGATAATCGACTAACAGGTGCTTCAGTTTCTCGAGAGAATTTTCAGAAGTTTCAGGAGAGGTAGTCAGTCGATTGACCGGATGGAGTCAGTCGACTATTGTGGACTGCAGATTTTCTGAGGAAGTTGATAGTCGATTGTCTAAGATTGACACTCGACTATTGAAGGCTGTGGGGGTTTTGTGAAGGAGGGATACTCGATTGTCAAAAATGATAATCGACTATTGGGCGGCTCGGGAAAGGAAAAGAAGTATTCTTTGGAAAAGGGGAGCAAACCAATTTGGTGTTAAGAGATATTACACACTCTTATCTTAACTTGGGGTTGAGTCTAGCATTCAAATAAGATATTACACACTTATTTAAATAACTAGAACCTAAAACTCACACTCAAGAGAACCACTCTTAAGATATAAATTTAGGAATTTAAAATAGCACACACAAACAAGTGTATTACTAAGTTGAAAATGCGAATACAATATATGTGTTTACAATGCTCAGGGATGAGCTTATATAAGCATAGAAAAAGGAGACTACCAAGTCTCTTATTCACACAAACTAAAGGAATTAATGGCCACATGTTGATGTTCTTTTGGTCGGGGAAAACACAGGGGTGATTGTACTTGTAGGGTAGGATTCTTGGTCATTAGTGGTAGGAGGGAATATGTGAATATAATTCACAATTGCTTGGCTTTGGGTGGGGCTGTTTTTGGGCAGGAGGTGATGTACCTAAGCTTAAGAAAAGCTATGGATGAATAAGGGCAGATTATAGATGGGAATATATGGTGAAGAATAGGTTGAATTTGTGTATGAAATGGTGAAGGAAGTATGGTTGTTTGGAAGAGGTGATATGGCGGAATGGAGGGCAGGAGAAAGGCAATATTTGGAGTGATTTTTGATGAAGAAATGAAGTGTTTAAATGGGAGAAAGGGGATGCACGAAATTGGGAGAGAAAGAGGGAGTTCTTTTGTGGTTTTTGTTGTATAAGGATAAACCAAATAATAAATAGGAGATAAACACACTCTTATTTTATTTGGGGCTGTTTCTTTTCACACAATAATGTTCACTATTATTATATGAAATATACTCCTAACACACACTCAAAAGTAGCCAACTTTAGAGATATTTCATTAGAAAATGGAGAGAACTAGCTTCACACTAATTCAAATATTTTACTCGAGGAGTAAAGAGAATAAGAATACAATACGGTGCTGCATTACATGGCCTTTGGCCGAAATAAATAAGGGGAAGAAAACTAAGGGGAAGCTTCCTACCACTTTCCTAAAATCAAGTGTATAATATCCATTTGTTTGATGTCTTTGGTTTGTACTTGTTATACCCAAGCTCAGGTTTTTAAAGGAACTATCTTGTTAAGAACAGGGAAGAAATAATCGATTGTCCAAAGTGGATAATCGATTATCAGGGGCTTCAGTTTCTGGGGGGAATTTTCTGGGGATTTTCTGGGAGGGGAGATAATCGATTTACAGGAGGTGTCAATCGATTATTGAGGATGGCAGGTTTTTTTTTTTTGGGAAAGGCTGATAATCGATTATTGGAGACTGATAATCGACTATTGAGGGCTGCAGGTGTTTCACGAAGAATAGATAATCGATTTCCGGTGGGGATAATCGATTATTTGACAGCTCGAGACAGGAACAAGGTACTTCTTTGGAAAGAAAAACAACCCAAATTGGTGTTAAGGGATATTACACACCCTTATCTTAACTTGGGGCTGAATCTAGCATTTAAATAAGATATTACACACTTACTTAAATAGCTAGAACCTAAAACTCACACTCAAGAGAACCACTCTTAAGATATAGGATTAGGAATTTGGAATGAAACACACAAGTGAATCACTTTGATTAAAATTGGAATACAATGTGTGTTTACAATGCTCATGGATGAGCTTATATAGGCATAGAAAAGGGAGACTACCAAGTCTCTTATTCACACAAATTAAAGAAATTAATGGCCACTTGTTGATGTTCCTTTATTGGGAAAAACACAGGGATTATTGTACTTGTAGGGCAGGATTTTGGCTATTAGTGGTGGGAGGGAATATGTGAATATAATTCACAATTGATTGGCTTAGGTGGGGTTGTTTTGGGCAGGAGAAAAAGGGTGGGGTAGCAGGTTATTTGGAGGTATTTCCTGGGCTGGATATGGGGTAAAAACATGGGGAATTGAAGGGTGTGGGTGTGGGTCAAGGTGTCTTGGATTTTATGGCTGTTTGTTTAGCCAAGTTGAGGTGTAAAGGAGTGGTATTGGCAGGGTTGTGGCATGAAGTTTTTGGCCAGGGATGGAGGAAAAATAAATGTAGTTTTGGGTTTATTATTTTGGATATTTTGGGGTTTGGATTGGATGAGAAAGGCTGGGCCTTTTAAGTTGGAGTTGGGCTCAGGGAAATTATGGCTATGTGGCAGGTTTTAGGATTGATAAGTTCGGTCCAAAAGGAATCATAACACTTAGCCATTATTCTGTCAATTTGTTTAACGACTTTAGAGTCGTTGGTAGTCGCCCGGGGTATATCATCCTCCCCTTCTTCAAAAGAGTTTATCCTCAAACTCGGAATTTCTTCAGGCTCAAAGTACGGGCTGATGTCCTTGATGTTGAATGTGGCCGATACCCCATAATCTCCTGGAAGGTTGATTTTGTATGCATTGTTATTGACCTTCTCCAATATCTCAAAAGGACCATCGGCTCTCGGTAACAGTTTTGACTTGCGTTTTGTTTGGAAACGCTCTTTCCTAAGATGAATCCATACGAGATCTCCTGGTTGAAAATGGGCGTCCTTCCTTCCTTTGTTGATGCGCATGCTGATTATCTCATTCATGGCTTCAATCTTTTCTTGAACCCTGGCGTGAAGGTCTTTGATTTCCTTTGACCGCTTGTCCGCTTCCCAACTGTACTTGGTTTCCGTGATGATCGGGTCAAGTTCAAGTGGAGTCAAGGGGTTTGAACCATAGACAACCGTAAATGGAGATAGTCCGGTAGTCTTGTTCGGGGTTCGGTTGTAGGCAAACTCGGCGTGTGGTAGAAGCTCTTCCCACTGCCTGATGTTCTTCTTGATGAGGGCTCGTAAGAGTGTTCCAAGGGTGCGGTTGGTGACCTCAGTTTGGCCATCGGTTTGTGGATGGCTTGACGCACTAAACTTCAGTTTAGTACCCAACTTTCTCCATAGGGTCATCCAAAAATGGCTAAGGAGTTTTGTGTCCCTATGCGAGACCATGCTTCGGGGAACGCCATGGAGTTTGACTATCTCCTGGAAATAGAGATCAGCAACTTGGGAAGCATCATAGGTGGTGAGACATGGTACAAAGTGGGCCATCTTTGAAAACCGGTCCACGACCTGCCATCCAACCTTTCCTCCTGCCCAAAAACAGCCCCACCCAAAGCCAATCAATTGTGAATTATATTCACATATTCCCTCCTACCACTAATGGCCAAGAATCCTACCCTACAAGAACAATCACCCCTGTGTTTTTCCCACACCAAAAGAACATCAACATGTGGCCATTAATTCCTTTAGTTTGTGTGAATAAGAGACTTGGTAGTCTCCTTTTTCTATGCTTATATAAGCTCATCCCTGAGCATTGTAAACACATATATTGTATTCGCATTTTCAACTTAGTAATACACTTGTTTGTGTGTGCTATTTTAAATTCCTAAATCTATATCTTAAGAGTGGTTCTCTTGAGTGTGAGTTTTAGGTTCTAGTTATTTATATAAGTGTGTAATATCTTATTTGAATGCTAGACTCAACCCCAAGTTAAGATAAGAGTGTGTAATATCTCTTAACACCAACTTGGTTTGCTCCCCTTTCCCAAAGAATACTTCTTTTCCTTTCCAGAGCCGCCCAATAGTCGATTAACACTTTTGACAATCGAGTATCCATCCTTCACAAAACCCCCGCAGCCTTCAATAGTCGACTGTCAATCTTAGACAATCGACTATCAACTTCCTCGGAAAATCTGCAGTCCACAATAGTTGACAGACACCATCTGGTAAATCGACTGACTACCTCTCCTGAAACTTTTGAAAATTCTCTCGAGAAACTGAAGCACCTGTTAGTCGATTATCATACCTGGATAATCGACTATCCTCCTTTCCTGCAGTTTAAGAAGCTTTGTTCTTAAATTTAAAGCCTAATCCCGGAGCTTGGGTTTAACATTTGGTATGAGAGCTCATTGTTCTGCATCCCCAAGGACCAAAGTACTTCCCTTCAAGCTTTCCCCTCCCCCCTTTTTACCACCCCTTTGTTCGCAGCTTAACCATGTCAAATGAATCTCAGCCCATGTCTCATGAAGAGCTCGTTGCATCCAACGCCACCTTAAAGGCCCAATTAGAGTGGCTAGAACCGGTGGAACGCGTCTTTGATTTCAAAGAAGTTTCCGATGAGAAGAAGGTCAAGATAGTGGCTTGAAGTTCCGCAAGTATGCATCCACGTGGTGGACCAATACTTGCACCAAAAGAAGAAGAATCGGTAAGGAACCGGTGTCTACTTGGACTAAGATGAGGTCCCTCTTGAAGAAGAAGTTCTTACCCGCTGAGTACATTCATGAGAATTTTGCTAAGCTCCAAACACTTAAGCAAGGTTCAAAGTCTGTGGAAGATTACAACCGAGAGTTCGAGGAACTCTTGCTGAGGTGTGACTTACAAGAAGACGATGAGCAAACCTTTGTACGCTACCTTTTTGGTTTGAACCTACAAATAGCCAATACGGTGGAGTTACAAAGCTACGAGACCCTCGAGGAGCTCACCAAGTTAGCCCTCAAAGTTGAGGCACAAATCAAGAAGTCCAAGTCCCTCTTTTCCAAACCCAACCCTACCTATGCACGGCCTAACCCAATCTCCCAAAAACCCACCTATTATCCTTCCAAAACACCCCCTACTGTCCACGGCCAAACCCCCAACTCCTCAACCCCAACACCATCCAAAAACCCCTCCTCCTCCTTCCCTACAAGGGCTGATCCCATCAAGAAAGCCCCTATTTGTTTCCGTTGTCAAGGGCGCAGTCACTATGCTAACGAGTGCCCTAACAAGAAGGTTATGGCGATCGTTGAGTGTGACAAAGAATATTGTGACCCAACTTGGGTCGAAGAAGAAGTTGAAGAAGCGGATGAACAAGATGAGTACGTTGGTCCCGATGATGGTGAACTCCTGGTCATCCGTAGGACTATGAGCACTCTAGCATGCCCCGAAGAACAACTACAACGGGAAAATATATTCCACACTCGCTGTACTGTCCAAAAGAAGGTGTGTTCCCTCATCATTGATAGCGGGAGTTGCACCAATGTGGCTTCCAAACCAATGGTGGACAAATTGCATTTAAAGACGTCACCGCACCTGAAACCATATACGATTCAATGGTTGAATCATGGAAAGGGTTTACGTGTTGACACACAAAGCCTCATTTCCTTAAGCATTGGCGGTTCGCATAAAGACGAAGTATGGTGTGATATCATTCCGATGGACGCATGCCACATCCTCTTGGGACGACCATGGCTGTTTGATCATCGTGTGCAACATGATGGATGTGCCAACACTTATTCATTTTTGATGAATAAGAAGAAGATCACCCTTACCCCTTTACCCCCTCCTTCAGCCACGGCCAAACCAACCAAAGAACACCCCCCGTTCTTATCTCCACTATCTTACAATCCGAGCAACACGAATTCCATGGGATTAAATACTTAATCCTTTTGGAAGATGGAGAAACCGAACCCCACACTCCCCCAAAACATCCCCATCCTCTAGCTCAACCATTCCTTGAAGAATACCCCCATGTATTTCCTGACGATGTACCACACGGCCTCCCTTCCAAAAGGGACATACAACACAAGATTGACCTTATTCCGGGGGCTGCCCTACCCAACAAACCGGCATATAGGATGAATCCCGAGGAGACAAAAGAGATTCAACGTCAAGTTGATGAGTTGCTAGCTAAGGGCTTCGTGAGAGAAAGCCTTAGCCCATGTGCTGTCCCGGCACTCTTGGTGCCTAAGAAGAATGGAACATGGCGTATGTGTTGTGATAGTCGATCTATCAACAAGATCACTATCAAATACCGGTACCCAATCCCACGTTTGGAGGACATGTTGGATGAGCTGCATGGCTCAAAAATCTTTTCAAAAGTTGATCTAATGAGTGGCTACCATCAAATTCGCATCTTCGAAGGAGATGAGTGGTAAACAGCGTTCAAGACGAAGTTCGGGCTGTACGAATGGTTGGTCATGCCATTCGGATTAACCAATGCCTCGAGTACATTCATGAGACTTATGAATCAAGTCTTGAAGCCATTCATAGGTCATTTTGTCGTCGTATACTTCGATGATATTCTGATTTATAGCAAGAGCGAAGAAGAGCATGTTCATCACCTCACTTTGGTGATTAAAAGGTTGGACGAAGAGCAGCTGTACGGGAACCTCGAGAAGAGCCAATTCTTCTCTCGAGAAATGGAGTTCTTGGGATACTTTATCTCAAGCGAGGGAATCAAGGTTGACGAGAAGAAAACTCAAGCCATTTGAGATTGGCCCATTCCCACCTCTATGCAGCAAGTTAGAAGCTTTCATGGGCTTGCTTCCTTCTATCGGAGATTTGTGAAAGATTTCAGTACCATAACCGCACCCCTCATGGATTTGACTAAAAATCAGAAGTTTGAGTGGAATCCCAAGGCCCAAAGAGCATTTGAGACGATCAAGGAACGATTAACACATGCCCCCGTGTTAGCCCTTCCTAGCTTTGACAAGCTATTCGAGGTAGAGTGTGATGCCTCGGGAGTTGGAATCGGGGCTGTCCTATCTCAAGAAGGGCACCCGGTGTCATTTTTTAGCGAAAAGCTAAATGATACGAGGAGGCGGTATTCCACCTACGACAAGGAGTTCTATGCTTTGGTGTGATCCCTTGAACATTGGCGCCATTACCTTATAAGCAAAGAGTTCATCCTACATTCCGATCATGAGGCCTTGAAATACATCCAAGGGCAACATAAACTCCGACCCCGTCATGCCAAATGGGTCGAGTACATCAAAACCTTCACCTTCACCATCAAACACAAAAACGGAAGCATGAACAAGGGCACCGATGCCTTGTCTCGGAGACATTTATTACTAACGGTACTTAGTACCAAACTTGTTGGTTTTGAGTGTTTGCAAGAACTTTCTTTTAATACTAGTGCCACGTGTGAAGGTTCATCCCGGGGTATATCACCATTAGCCGATGTCAAAAACGCAAGTTCTCCAAAATAAAAACTAAGTATTGAAAACATTTGTTTATTGCATTTTGCTAAGAAATCAAGTAAAACAACTTAAAAACCACATCATTTAGTTGAAAACTACGGCTAACCAAGTTTGTGTCGTTTTGCATGGTTTTCACTAAACGACCATAAACGGAAGGTGGTTTTTGAAGCGTTTTTGTTGGAGAACTGCTTAAATATGCCCAGAAGTAAAAACCAATCATAAAAAGTTAAAAACCACTTGGTTGGTTCGGATGCCCAAAAACCAATGCCGAAAGCTGAAAGCTGAACGCCGGATGACTTGGTTTTTGGTTTAGGCGAACTCCAAGTGTTTTTAGCCAGGTTTAAAAACTTATGAAAAACATTTTTGAATTTGCAAAAAGGGTTGTGATGAATTGAGCCTAGAGAGCGAAGATTTGGAAGTTTGTGCCGGTCTTGATCACATTAAGACCGACTTGATGCAATTCTAATTCTTTGTTCTTGATTCTTGGTTCTTGGTTCACATGTCATCATGCCGTGTTTCTTTGCTTTGGTTTTGCTCACTTTAGCCTTGTTGTGTCACGGCGGTCTGGCATTATCAAAACCTGTCATAAAAACGAACACAGTTTAGTACGACGTAGGCGTAAACCCGTGTTCCAACAATTTCCCCCTTTTTGATAATGGCAAACAAGACGGGAATATGCATACTAAGGGATATTTGACTTTGAAAAGAGTGAAAAAGTTTCCCCTTAATTTGTGCTTAAAAAAATTGTCATATTAAAATCAAACGATCCCGTTTTTAGGGACGTTCCCCCTTAGTGTATGCATAACCCTTTTCTTCCCCCTTTTGACATTAAGAAAAAGATAAAGGATAACTTTTATTTTTTGAAAAAGGGAAATAGCGGAGTACAACGGAAGCATTAAAGAAACAGGATAATTAAAATAAAAGAGATAGAAAATCTAGGGGCGTCCTAGTCTTTGTCTTCGGTTTCCTCGTCGTCGTCGTCGACGTCCATCTCATCACCATCAACGGCATCGTCGAACTCGTCCTCGTCCGGGGAGCTTGACGGGTCGTAGGAGGCATCGTCTTCGTCCTCGTCACCATACACTTTCCTAAAGAACGTGCCATGGTACGGTGGGGGGACGTAGTTAACGCGTTGGAAGTACGCGTTCATGGCGTACCCTTGGTGTTGGACCGCCTCGTCAAGCTTCTCAAGGTAGCCATCCATCCCATCAACTTTGAAGTGCAGCCGGTTGAGGGAGTCAGCAATGGAGGCAAGGTTGGCCCGGGCCTGGGGTTCGGCTGGGCCAGCAGCAGAACGGGGCCGTGGCACGGCAGTGGCAGGTCCGGCATTGTCCGACCCCTTCTTGAAGGTTTGGGTGCTGATCGCCCAAATCTTCGTGGCCTTTGTGAGTGGGCCAACGGTGGTGGTCACCTTGAACCGTTCAAGGATGTCCATCACCACGAACGGGTACGGGAGGAGGTGGTCGTGGTCGGTGGACGCGGCAATCGTCATGTTGATCATGACAAACTTTGCCCAATTGATTGGGGCCGAGTGCATGATCGCATGGATCAGTTTGAGGTCCTCACCGAACATGATTGTGTGGCCATGCTTCCGGGGCTTGATGATTCGGGACACGATGTAGAGAAGAAGACGGCCTTCGGGGTTAGCGGAGTGGATGGTGGGGCGGCTCGAGGCATGGCGGATGAGCTCGGTGACGCCAAGCTTGTTGAGGATAAGGCCCTCGTTGTTGAGCACCCAGTCCTCTCCGCCATAGTGGGAGACGTCGTCGCCTTGGTAGGGGAGGCCGGCGATGCGCCCAAGCTGCTCAACGGAAAGTTCTATCGGCGTGCTCTTGACAAGAGAGTAGAGCACGTCGCCCTCACGCCGGAGGTTGGAGTAGAAGACCCGAATCAGCGCCGGGTTGATCTCCTTCCAAGCCCAGGAGACGAATGGCCAAAGGCCGGCTTGATGAAGCTGCGCGTCGAGGTCGTCGTAGCCCTGCAACTCCGGGTAGCGCTCCGGGATGATCCGTGGAGGAGCCACGACCCGTTTAGAGAAGAAAGTGAAAAAGCGGGTGCGCTCCTCCTCGGAATCGAACCAGAGGTACGATCCGTAGCCATAGTAGAGGCGTTCCTCCGTGGATGTCGTAGGCGCCCGGGATTTGGACTTTGATTTCCTGGAGGTGGCAGCCCTGCTCTTGTCCTTGCCCATGAAAAAAAACTCAAAAGAGAAGAGTAGAGATGATGAAATAAGCAAAGATGTTGAAGAGAATTGTGTTTGTGTGTTTAAAAGTGAAGAAAGGGGGTCCCAATTTATAGAGAAGGAGGTCTCCAACGTCCAGATTTTCAAAAATATGGCTGTTGGATCAATTAATGCTGGTGCCAACGGATATTTTTTTTTGAAAAATTTATCCAGAACAGCGATGTTCCAAAGGCTACATCGCTGTTGGGACAGCGCTGTTGTGCGTCAAGTTTTAAAAACAAGTGTTGAATGGACAGCGATGTTGGGTTCCCTATAGCGATGTTCTAAATCATTCTGGAATTGTGTAAGTGGTTGAACCCATTAGAACAGCATTGTTGGGTTTCCCTACATCGCTGTTTTACGATAGAGAAAAAATTTGTAAAAATGGACATTGATGTTGAAAGTGGGACATCGCTGTTTGAAAAGTTTCTGGTTTTGGTTGAAAACAAGGTGTTTTGGGTAGACAGCGATGTTTTAAGAAGGAACATCGATGTTCAAAAAGTTTTTGGAAAGTGAAGAGTAAGGGACAGCGCTGTTGGCGCATTGTACAGCGCTGTTGACACAAACTTGTTGACGGTGTTTCTCTCAACAGGGCTGTTGGGTCTCTTGGACAGCGCTGTTTGCATGGTTCCCCCTGATTTTATGAACGGGGTACCTGCAAAAAAGAAAAAAAAGTTCTCCGGCGCTCAAGTTAGTAAACGTTTAACAAGTTTAGATGCACAACTTAGATCATCGTGGAGTCAAGGATTCCGAGTTCACTTCGAATGCGGAAGAACGACTCTTTCTCTAGAGGTTTTGTGAAAATGTCGGCTAATTGATTGTGTGTTTCAACAAACTCAATTTCGACATCACCTTTGAGAACATGATCTCTAATGAAATGATGCCTAATGTCAATGTGTTTCGTCCTTGAATGAAGAACGGGGTTCTTCGTCAAGCTTATGGCTCTAGTATTATCACAACGAAGAGGAACGTGATTGATACTAAGGCCATAGTCCACGAGTTGTTGCTTCATCCAAAGGATTTGAGCACAACAACTACCGGCGGCTACATATTCCGCTTCGGTTGTGGATAACGCAACACTGACTTGTTTCTTAATAAACCATGAGACTAGAGAGCTACCAAGTAAGTGGCAAGTCCAACTTGGGCTTTTACGGTCCAATTTGCAACCGACAAAGTCCGAGTCGGAATAACCAGCGAGATGACACGAAGAGCCTTTTGGATACCACAGTCCAACGTTAACCGTGCCTACCAGGTATTTCATGATCCGTTTCACCGCTGTTAAGTGCGATTCCTTCGGACATGATTGATACCTTGCGCAAAGGCATACGCTAAACATAATATCCGGCCTACTAGCAGTAAGATAGAGAAGGGATCTGATCATACCTCGATACTTTTTGACTTCTACTTCCTTACCTTTCTAGTCTTTGTCTAGATGGTCGGACGTGCTCATCGGGGTTGCCATGGCTTTGGTGTTGTCCATTTCAAACCGTTTTAGGAGCTCCTTGCAATATTTAGTTTGACAAATGAACGTGCCATCATTCTTTTGCTTGACTTGGAGTCCCAAAAAGAATGTGAGCTCACCCATCATCGACATTTCGAACTCGCTTGTCATTAACGTTGAGAATTCCTTGCACAAAGACTCGTTAGTAGCAGCGAATATAATATCGTCTACATAAACTTGAACCAAAAGGATGTTATTGTTTTTACTCTTGATAAAAAGTGTAGTGTCAACCTTTCCCCTTTGGAAACCACTATCCAAAAGAAATTTACTCAACCGTTCGTACCAAGCACG